AACAATAACTTCTGCAAGCAAATGAAATGGAAATTGGGAAATTCTGTTCCCTTTTAGAAAATTCCATTGTTATGGACATACCCGTTTTACACCAAGGAGCACATTCTGCAGCAACCAAAATTACGTTCATGACATTGGGACCAGCAAGTGGAGGGGGTTTCACATCTTCACCTATGGGATCTTGGACTTTAACCTTAGTGTCCTCTAGATTTGATTCTTCTTCATCTTTAATTTTCTCATATTTCAGGCTTAATGGCGCATCAGATAAAATGGTTGTCCCCACATTAGCATCCTTCAACTTGTCTGACTCTACTTTGTTGGAGGTCTCTGAACTGGATATTAGCTCTGTGGCATTGTTCAACCACTTGTAAGAATCCTTATTTGAAAAAGGCTCTGGACTGGGTGTGACAGACGATCTTGGAGAAACTGATGGCACTTCCTGAGACTGAACTGACTCTGAAGTAGTGGCTTTTGGCTGTGGTTTGTCATTATGATGCAGGTCTTTTCCGGGTTCTGTCATATTGGCAAATGAATATTCACTGGAAGCTGAAGCTGGGTTTTCATTCACATCATGAACAGCTGAGTGGGTGCCGCTAGTGGACAAGCTTTCATTATCAAGGTCTTCACTGATCTTGTCATCTTCAGTTGTTGCAACACCAATACTTGAAAAACTTCCATTGTGCTCCTCATAAGGCAATTCATCGCTTTCTGGATCAATTATACTACTTTTTATTGATGAGACTACTTTCTTTCTTTCTGCAATCTGCAAAGTGGAGTCCAAAACCACATTGATTTCTTTTTCCGGATCACAAAGAAAAACTGGAAAAAAAGTATAACACTGACTACCCCGCCTCTTCGAGTGCTATAAATATTTCCACTTTCTTAAAAATTGAATGTTTGTACTCGATCATCTTTAATGACTACGAAATTAGTTCAATGTTAACTAGCTTATACTTTCTAAACCAGACTGAAAACATTGAAAAATTAAAAGGAAAATGTAGGAGAAATAAAGATGATTTTAAATTTCCAGAGCTTTCGATACTCTGGAACTACTGATCAAAATAAGACTTCTCGTATCTTGTTAATACATGATATGTTGACACTGGAATGGTTTCTAATGTTAAGATTAACAAGAGTACATACATATATCAGTGACAAGATGAAGTGCAAATTTAGGGAAAAGAAAAACCTGCCACATACAAGAAAAAGAGATCGGTGAATTCAAGGAACCTGTTTTAATAAGTCTTTCTGCATGGCCAGAACCTTTTTGCTCTTTTCAATCGTGGCCTGTAAAGCATCGTCTTGTTCATCACCACTCTCAGCTTCCTCTGATCCCCTCCCTGTCGCTTGTACGAACGTTATCCTCCACCTCAACCCCTCGCTTCCACAACATAACGATAATCTCCTAGTATTATCTTCACTCAAATTTCTTGAAAATCCAGCTGTATGGCAATTGGTCAAACCCCCAGCATCAACAGATTTTCTTGGCCTGTATGCAAGTATAGGAATCATGGGTCGATGACGGTTTCTACCGCGAAGAAGTATACAACCGTTCACAGCAGTTTGAACCGTCCCAATAGACGCCATTGAAGCGTTTGATAAATTGCCTCTGAAAAACTATATTTTCAAGATTCTACGAATGCGAGGATTCAAACTAAACCGGAGAATACCCAGTTACGGGAATAGAGAGATAATCAAACCCAGTTGGTGTTTCCTTGAATAGAGGATTGCAAGAAAACCCAGATGTGCAAAAGAGAGCCCCTTTTAACTTTGTATTAGGTTTCTAGGGTTAGTACTCAGTAGTGAAAATGATGGGAACACCATGGATAGAGAGCTAAATGGAAATGGACGGTGAATCTCTCCGTTTCAAGTGTTTGGTTTCAGTGGGACCACCTAAAAATTGGAAAATGATGAAGGTATGTTTTTGATGATTTTGTTTTGTAAGGCTCAGATCGAGTAGAAATAGCAAGTCCAGATTATGAACCGGAAGCTGCTTTATCTGGTTGATATCAAGCTAGAGTACAAACAATATGCGTGATAACGAAGCTCCTCGAAACTAAACTCGTGGCTTGGGTCCTATGGCTTGTATAATGTTACTGGGGTCTCTATAACAATAATTACACCTTAGTCCATATCTCAATCAACATTATAATATATTAAATTTTAGACCTTAGTCCATCTCAATCAACATTATAATATATAAAATTTTAGAATTATAAGCGAATATAGTGGCGGATAATATGACGTTTCTCTTTCACTACACCAAACCCACGAACTTTCACCCAAAGGCATACAGTTTACTTGATATTTGGAGGAATAGGGATGGTGAGCAGTTACCGAGCCCATATGACAAATCTTTGAAACTCCTCACAAATGCAATAGTAAGAACCGAGGATGGGATCATTGGACTAGGGGTTGTGATTCGGGATCATTTTGGCAAAGTGGTGAAGGCGGGAGCAAGGTATGAAAGGGGTTTTAATAGTTTGGCAATGGCAAAAGTCATTACCTTTATGGTGTGAGTTTTGCTAAGTAGCACAACTTCAATCTGACGGTGGTTAAATGTGATTCGTAATGGGGAGTATCGAGTGTTTAGTTTTCTCTTTCTTGGGCCTCAATGTTTTAATTTATTTGATATTGTAGCTCTTTTTCAAGAAGTAGTTGTTGATTCTTATTGCTTCTTGTTCAAGGAAAGTTGTAGCCCAACAACCTGTTTTTGCTGTTACCATTTCACACCTTCTAAGTTCTCACTGATTGTTTGTTTTACTTCATCCTTTGTTTTGGGTTATATTTCTTAATGAAAGTTCGGCTTCGTTCAATATATTTATAAGATTTTATTTTAAAAATTTTCAATGCTATTTATTCACCCTTTTATAGGAATCATGTATGTGCAATATTGAACCTAATTAGAACATGTTTGGCTATACTTAGAGACTATTTTCGTCTTTTTCTTATCCTACCATGTGATCTTTGTGCTGTTAAAAAGAAAAGGGTAAGAAAAAACCGTTTGCTTTTAGTTTTATAACAAACACAAGTCATAAAGGCTAAAGATTTCTTGAGAGTGACTTACAAAAACGAACTAATAAAGTCTGTACAATTTAAGCTTGCAATTCGATTTTATTTTTGGATTTGGAAAGAGAATAAAGATAAAAAAAACGCTGAAGAAGAAGACTACCACAGGAATGATAGATTCATTGAAAAAATAGTACGAACACGCCTCACGCTTGCAATGGGCCAACACATTGTTTTCAGCTAAAGAAATGGAAAAAAAGAATGAGGACGATACATATTTGCGACACATGTCCTGACACTCCTTCGCTACTTTATATATGTAGGATGTTATCACAATTTTGTTTACTGCCTCTACTTGTCTGTTAGCTTGTGATAATATGGAGTGGAGAAATGTTGGGGAATTCCCAATCTGTTATACATGGCTCTCAATTTTCTCTTAGAAATATGTACTATTATTTGATACTTCAAAATTTGGCACTCCGTACTGAGGAATAATAATTTTCCATATGAATTTAGAAGTATTGTTCTCAGTTATACTTGCAAAGGGCTCTGCTTCCTTCCATTTAGTGAAATAGTCTACTGCAAAGATCATAAATCTCGTATTAGAATGATCCAAGAAAACAATAGAGGTGTGTTTTTGAAGATTTTGTTTTGTGAGGCTCAGATTGAGTAAAATAAATCAAGTTCAAATTATGAACGGAAGCTTTTTTATCTGGTTGATATTAAACTAGAGATGCCTGATAACAAAGCTATTCAATACTTGTGCCTTGGACAGGGTGTTGGGTCCTATGGGCTTGTATTTTGTTAATTGTCGGATCGTAGCACAATAGTGACACATACGCTCAACGTGTCGAGTGTTCAATTTTCTCTTACTTGGACGGTAATGTTTTAATTTATTCGATATTGTAGCTTTTCTTCAAGAAACGGTCGTCGACACTTGTTGCTTTTCTCGTTCGGGGTATACGCTATCCCATCAACTTGTTCTTTTGTTACCGTTTCACCACCTTCTTATAGACGAGTTAGTTGTTTGCTATGTTTTACTTCATCCTTTGTTTTGAGTTGTATTTCTTAATGCAATGTTCAGTTTGGCTCAATATATTTACAAGATTTTAGATTTTATTTTTCAATACTATTTAGTCGCTTTTTTATAGGACCCCATAAGTTAAGGAATAAAATCATATATCGAATAAAGATGAAAATATAGACCAACTTATAAGGTCTTTGGCTACTTTTCTTAACAAAATTGACTTTTTAAGATGAAATTTCAAGTCTTAATATCATATCAGAGTCTATTAAACTCAAACAAGCAATTCGATTCAATTAAGATTAAAAAAGAGCACACAAACATCAAAATTAGTCTGTTTAAATGAGTCACCATCTTATGAGGGCATGTTGAGGTATAAAATCCCTTAACATAGACTAACTTATATAAGTTTTGGGCTACTCCTCTAAACAAAGTTGACTTTCAAGATGTAAAAATGGGTATCTGAATCGAGAATCAACGAGTTTGGTTCAGTTCACGGTTCTAAATCAAAAATCGAATTTTCCTAATTTTTTAATTAATTTATTTTAGATAAGCCAAATTATATTATTTTTTCCTAAATAAATTTGCTAACTAGTTAATTTAGCTCAAACCCAAAAGTATGATTATCATATTTCTAATTTTCAGTTCAAAGCTAACTCCATTAAATTGACCTAAATTTTATCCAAATTCGTTACTCTATCGTAGTGCTGTTTCTATCGTTCTGAAAAAATCGAATTAAAACTCGACAGTGCTTCTTTTAATTATTGTGAGCCTGCTATCTTCCACTTCCTATGATTTTAACAATCAAATTTATGAAGAACTCAATAAAGAAAGACCAAAAAAACACGTAAGATTGGACTACATAATTTTGTAAGAGCTAAGATTAAATATATCATTAGTTGAATTGATGTAACTTTGTAAATATTAAAAAATAGAAAAACTGTTACCTGGGGAGAGAATCCACTTGGTAACACAACGGACGATTGCATAGAAATTGTTAAGCATAACAGCAGTTGTACTAAGCCATCGTGTGCAGTTGAAGGCTGCCTTTCCAAGGGTTTTGCTCGACTTTTTTCAAGCGGTCCGTGTTTACAGTTGACCAAGATACAAGAGTCTCTTATACATGAAAGTGATGCAGTGAGCCATTGAGTGTAAAGACATGTTCCAACTATTATTTTCTTGACATGGAGGCCATTAGTGCCTCTTCCAATGTGCATCTCTATTGTGTATGAAATTAATAAAACTATTTGTCCTTGTCGTCTAATGCTATCAAATTCTCTCCACCACCACCACCAACACTATCAATATTGCTTGCACCATTCATCTACCATACCAAGAATTGCAATTGAAGAGCTGGACATTAAAGATATCATTACGTCTACAGAAATTTTGGACGTGTAATGGTGAAAATCTATCATGAACAGGAGGGTAGCATACACACAAGTAAACCTGCCATTAAATTCCGATTGAAAGCTGAAAGAAATACGAACAAGAGAATTAGACAATATGTATATTAAGCTATATGCGTATTAACCTAGAATATCTGAATTTTTCTCTCTTCTATGGTCCAATTTTTGTTGCAAAAGCAAGGATGATCTTACACGTCAGTTTTGACTGAGCCACAATGCAAAGACCAAAAAAGGATGACATTCCGCCAAGACTACAGTCAAGATCGAGGGAAAATAAGCAGCAACGTTACCATTGGAACTTGGCAGCAATAAGTACTTCCTCGTATTTTTGAGCAGCATTATCCCAACTTAGATCCTGTGTCATTCCTCGTCTCTGGAGACCCTCCCAACTCTTCTTGTACTGTCGATAAGTCAATAAGCAATTCCCTAATGCATTGATCAGTTCATTCGTCTCAGCCTTTGCAAAAGTCCATCCAAGCCCCGTTTCCTCGAAAGGGTTGAAAGGCTGCACTGTATCTCTTAGTCCACCAACTGCATGAACGACTGGAATTGTCCCATAACACATTGCATACAGCTGGTTCAGTCCACAAGGCTCAAATCTTGAAGGCATCAGAAGTATGTCAACACCAGCAGTTATCCGGTGAGCTGTTTTCACGGAAAAACCGACCCACCCCCTGACTCTGTCATTGTACTGGCCCTCAAACTTTCTAAGCATCTGTTCGAGATCAGGCCTACCAGTGCCCAACATGACCAACTGTACATCCTGGCCCATCATCCAAGGAACAGCTTCAGCTATCAGATCAACACCTTTTTGGGGATCGAGTCTCCCAATGAAACCAATTAATGGTACATCAGCTCGGACAGGCAAACCAAGCTCCTTCTGTAATGCTTCCTTGCACTGGGGTTTGCCCTTGTTTAGGGTATCGAGGGAGTAGTTAACATACCCATCAGATTGTAGGTAAATATCTAACTCAGGATTCCAATCCTTTGTATCGATCCCATTTACGATTCCACGAAATTTCCAATCATTCTCATTTATAATCTCATGTAGACCCCAGCCACCTTCAGAGGTTTTTATCTCCCAAGAATATCCATGACTAACTGTAACTACACGATCTGCCGTCTTCAGGCCGGCTGCAAAGATGTTGAAGTGCTCTCCTCCAACTGGATCATACAACCTAAAAAGGTCCAAGTAGTGTGGCGGAAGATCCACGTAGGAAAAATCATCCACAGGACCGCGACCCTGATTATAGGTAATAAATGAACAGCAAAAAGAACCAGAAGTGAGATTGCAGGATTATCAATTTCTATTTCAAAAGTAACCTCATTTAAACAGCAACCTTTCAGAAATCAGTTTATTCAGTATGGAAGTCAATGAATTGAAAGCATAACAAAATGAGCAAAAGAAATAATTGAATTTTTTTTTTTTTTCCAAATTTCATCAGAAAAGGTGAGTAAACAGTCTCACCTACCAATTTAGTCAACTAAGCTTATCTATTATCAATCTACCTATTGGCTTTAGCGTTGGCCAAGTCCATTGGCTTTCAAAGGTTGAGTTGAAAAGTTGCTTTCCCAACTGTCCAAAATCTCAACTGTAAGTCTATAATATATTTATGCCCTCTCCTCTCCTTTCTTTTCTTAATCACATGGCTTAGAATATCAGAGAGACATGATTAAAAATGAGGTGCTTGAAGCATGTCCACAGAATATTAGTTCTAGCATCTTTGAAATATTTAAAGAAGAATTCAAGAAAGTGGGTAGGCAATATTCTACGTGCTGATATCAGCTCATCAGTATGTTGGTTGTTGATTCACTTTCAACATGCCTTGACGGTGCAATGGAAGACATGTGAGACTCGAAATCTTGTGCTAAAGAGTGTGGAAGTTTGAGTCCTCTTCAAAACATAATATTGAAAATGCTCATCGAATAAGCGATTCAATAAGAGAGCTCGGATCGAAGTATTGATGGGCAGAGAGATAAGTATAATGCAAACCTAGTGTTCTAGACACTGAAATACATTCATTATCATTTTGCTAGTGATGATTCAATCTCTACATACATATCTGCATCAAATGCTGACACTTCTGTTCATGTAGTGTTTCAATTGCAACATGCATTAGATAATCTCGAAGGCTAAGAATAGGACTCTATGAACAAACCTGGTGAGCAATGTTATGTATCACAAGGACTGATCTTGTATATTTCATCAATCCATTGTCCCGGAAATATGCCTTAAGGTACACTGGCAATAAAGCAGTGTGCCAATCATTTGCAATGAAAACTAAATTTCCATCTCCATAGCAGACCCCACCACATGGAACATGCCAAGGAACCTGTACCATTTTTTTATCCAATTCACATAACATCTTTGCAGATCGAGCAAAATTTAGGACAAAAGTGAGCCATTCAAGAATACTTGCAGAAAAGCTCAAACATACTCCCCCCAACCTGGAGAAGAAAGGAACTATAGTTGCAATAGAAGACTATTTTTCTTTTTCTTTTCCCTTCACAAGACTATCGATGATACATAAGAAGCTATTTCTCAGACTGTAATGATTTAGTAGCTTAATTTAATCATACCTCAACAGCAGCTTTGCAAAACAAAACCATACGCTTCAAAATATCCTGCAAAAGGCAACAAAGAAACAAATATTAATAACCTAAAGATCGTTGAGAAGGAATATTAAAGATGCCTAATATGTTGTTGTCAATGATTATATATACTGAATGAGAACTTAAGGCTTATTTGTCAAAGATTATTTTTAAATTATTTTCAACCACACATTCTATAAAACCCACATCTTTTCCCTACGTTTTAACCATGCATTCTCCGAAAAAAAAACATTTTCCCCTGGAAAAATCTGTATCAAACAAGCTTTTAATAACAGAAAGGCATAATGAATCATATTGAGGCTCAATTCATCAGAATTCGCAATTAATTTTCACAGCATAGATGATCTCTCTCTTGAAAGCTACACGAAGAGTTTGTGTAAACCAAAAGCACCAAACTCTTATTTATATAAAAAAAAAGTGTCAGAAAACTGCGTTAAGGAATAAAAATGCGTACATAAGGGCATCTCTATCATGAGGAAAGGCATCAAGCAATAAGATTATGGTTCTTCCATGAGAGGAATAAACGCAAGCATAAAGCTGGGACCATATGAAATATCTTACCATACGATTCCCTCCATATATATTATTTTCTCTATGACGAAACACAGGACTATCCATGAAAACAAAATCCACGCCATCAATGTAGGTTTGGAAATACGTCACCTCCATATCCTGAAATATATACCAACATGTTATAAACCTGCATATAAAATAAATCTAAATAATGTTGTCTTCGCTTACCTGGCCATCTACTTTGTACATTTTCCGAACTCCTGAATCTTGAGGTTCAGCATAGTTACCGTAGCGAGGTGCAACAACCTATCAATTGTAGGAAACAATGAATTTAATTTAAGATGATTAATAAAATTCAGAAAGTGAGAATTTTGTTACTTCAGTAAGTGTTAATTATGTTAAAACCACTAACATTTGAAGATCAAACTATACATGCAATTTCTTAAATCATTATGATGAAAAGGGTTCTCTGTTGAAAATAACATAAGTAGATGCATCAGATTTTGAACACCATTTTTTAATACAAAAGTGAATCAAACTTTACCATGACTCTATGTCCGCGTCGGGCCAAAGCCTTGGGTAAAGCTCCAGCAACATCTCCAAGCCCACCTGACATAATTTTCATACTCGTTAGTGCACAAGGACCATGCCATAAGAGTTGTGTTCTTGTACATGGACCATAACCTAAGAGTCCGCATGAAAATACCAGAAAACAACCAAAAGCCTATTTCTATTGTCAGCATACATTACACCAACAATAGAGTATGAAACCCCCGGCATCCCAACCCTTTGTCGCCTTCTTACCTAATCCATTCCTGAGGTAGTGGTTTTCCTATTTGTTACTTTGCATTCTTTGGCTGCGTGATTTGCAAGGGAAAAAATCTTGAGCACAGTCCACTAGTCTTTTAGCTTATTCCCCAGAAAATTTTAAAGAAATAGGCAAGCATTAGAATACTTGGAAGTGTCAGTCAGCACTTTAGGTTGAAATGAATCCAGTTAGGCAACTTCGTACAAACATCCACTAGCTACCTGTTAGCTTGTATTTCAAATCTCTTCTTTTAGCAACACCACTGCCTTTAATTATTTATTATTAAAAATAGACATGTGCTTCCCAATAGCAATCATATTAATAAATTTGATCACAGCAACTGATATTTACATCTGACTTGAACAGTATCTGCTACATATTTATAATTGGATATGAACAATAACTTCTGCAAGCAAATGAAATGGAAATTGGGAAATTCTGTTCCCTTTTAGAAAATTCCATTGTTATGGACATACCCGTTTTACACCAAGGAGCACATTCTGCAGCAACCAAAATTACGTTCATGACATTGGGACCAGCAAGTGGAGGGGGTTTCACATCTTCACCTATGGGATCTTGGACTTTAACCTTAGTGTCCTCTAGATTTGATTCTTCTTCATCTTTAATTTTCTCATATTTCAGGCTTAATGGCGCATCAGATAAAATGGTTGTCCCCACATTAGCATCCTTCAACTTGTCTGACTCTACTTTGTTGGAGGTCTCTGAACTGGATATTAGCTCTGTGGCATTGTTCAACCACTTGTAAGAATCCTTATTTGAAAAAGGCTCTGGACTGGGTGTGACAGACGATCTTGGAGAAACTGATGGCACTTCCTGAGACTGAACTGACTCTGAAGTAGTGGCTTTTGGCTGTGGTTTGTCATTATGATGCAGGTCTTTTCCGGGTTCTGTCATATTGGCAAATGAATATTCACTGGAAGCTGAAGCTGGGTTTTCATTCACATCATGAACAGCTGAGTGGGTGCCGCTAGTGGACAAGCTTTCATTATCAAGGTCTTCACTGATCTTGTCATCTTCAGTTGTTGCAACACCAATACTTGAAAAACTTCCATTGTGCTCCTCATAAGGCAATTCATCGCTTTCTGGATCAATTATACTACTTTTTATTGATGAGACTACTTTCTTTCTTTCTGCAATCTGCAAAGTGGAGTCCAAAACCACATTGATTTCTTTTTCCGGATCACAAAGAAAAACTGGAAAAAAAGTATAACACTGACTACCCCGCCTCTTCGAGTGCTATAAATATTTCCACTTTCTTAAAAATTGAATGTTTGTACTCGATCATCTTTAATGACTACGAAATTAGTTCAATGTTAACTAGCTTATACTTTCTAAACCAGACTGAAAACATTGAAAAATTAAAAGGAAAATGTAGGAGAAATAAAGATGATTTTAAATTTCCAGAGCTTTCGGTACTCTGGAACTACTGATCAAAATAAGACTTCTCGTATCTTGTTAATACATGATATGTTGACACTGGAATGGTTTCTAATGTTAAGATTAACAAGAGTACATACATATATCAGTGACAAGATGAAGTGCAAATTTAGGGAAAAGAAAAACCTGCCACATACAAGAAAAAGAGATCGGTGAATTCAAGGAACCTGTTTTAATAAGTCTTTCTGCATGGCCAGAACCTTTTTGCTCTTTTCAATCGTGGCCTGTAAAGCATCGTCTTGTTCATCACCAATCTCAGCTTCCTCTGATCCCCTCCCTGTCGCTTGTACGAACGTTATCCTCCACCTCAACCCCTCGCTTCCAAAACATAACGATAATCTCCTAGTATTATCTTCACTCAAATTTCTTGAAAATCCAGCTGTATGGCAATTGGTCAAACCCCCAGCATCAACAGATTTTCTTGGCCTGTATGCAAGTATAGGAATCATGGGTCGATGACGGTTTCTACCGCGAAGAAGTATACAACCGTTCACAGCAGTTTGAACCGTCCCAATAGACGCCATTGAAGCGTTTGATAAATTGCCTCTGAAAAACTATATTTTCAAGATTCTACGAATGCGAGGATTCAAACTAAACCGGAGAATACCCAGTTACGGGAATAGAGAGATAATCAAACCCAGTTGGTGTTTCCTTGAATAGAGGATTGCAAGAAAACCCAGATGTGCAAAAGAGAGCCCCTTTTAACTTTGTATTAGGTTTCTAGGGTTAGTACTCAGTAGTGAAAATGATGGGAACACCATGGATAGAGAGCTAAATGGAAATGGACGGTGAATCTCTCCGTTTCAAGTGTTTGGTTTCAGTGGGACCACCTAAAAATTGGAAAATGATGAAGGTATGTTTTTGATGATTTTGTTTTGT